AGCAGGAATTGCTGACCCTGTAGAGAGCCGGACACAAAACTCTGGGACTTCTGGAAAGACTGAGATGCTCACACAAAACAGGGGTTTTGCAGTTTGCAGACAGAGCTTTCTCCCAAGGGCGGTTTTTGCGTTCACATGCCACTGATGCCTGAAAACGCTCCCAGGGCAGCAGACTGAATTTCTCCCCCTCTGTTTGTAGCCTTTCTCTGGCCGCAGAATGGCCGTTGCTATTTGGGGAATGTGCTGTGACCGCTTTGGGGGTGTTTTCTTTCAGCTGTTTCCTGCTGTCCACCGCTGCTGAGCCGTGCGCAGCCTGGTTTAGCTGGTGTTTGCAGAAAGCTCTGGAAATGAGCAGAGTGGCTTTGAACTGCCCCGCGGGAGAATACCGCTGCTCTGTGGTTTCACCTGAAAGCCATCGTGTTGGAGAGGAGAGGCTAGGACCAGGGTGTCGCAGGATGGCAAACGCTCTGCCATGTAGCTGTCCCAAAGTGCCAAGGGCTGAGCCGGCCACCAGCAGCGCGCAATGGAGCAGCCCGATGGAGGACAAGGCAGGAGGAAGCCTCTGCTTTCAGTGCCTCCTCCCTCCACCAAGGGCAATGCAGAGTTTTACTAAGATCACAGGGGAAACCAGAATGAGCAGAAAATAAATTCCCCTTCCACCTGCCCTAAGCACTAAAGCTGTTCCCTTAACCCCACTGTCCTCAGAGATGCTCTTGCTGAGACCTCATGCGCAAAGCATGTGGTGAAACACCAGCTCAGACTGATGCTCTGAGCCCTTGCCCAGCTTGGGTAGCAGCTTCTGTACCAGTAACTCAGGACCCCAGTGCAGATGTGGCCTTAGGCTAAGCTGTTTGGTGAGGTTTGAAGCGGAGCACTCTGCTCTCCCACGGGGGACGCGGGGCCCACCGCATGTGGAAGGCGGGCAGGACTGCAGCTTCAGCAGTTTTCTCTTGGCCACTTCTCATTTACACAGCCTCAACAGATGTCTGGGTAATTCATACTCCGTGTAACGAGCCTTTTCTGCCTCACATGGCGCACAAGGTCTCGAACCCCTGTACATTTCTCTGCTGCTGCACATGCATCCTGGTGGCAGGAAGCAAATATTCCCAATAAAAACAAATCATTGTGCTCTGATACATCCTTCCTTCGGGAGCAGCAGATGCAGCTGGGTAGCAGCTGGGTCCAGCCCCAGCAGGATGGCTCCCCAGCTGCAAAGCGCTTTGCTAAACCCCGCTGCAGAGCCTGGAGTGCCCTGGGACTCCTAAAGAGAGGTCCCTTTCCTCCGGACTCACCTGCCCTGCAGAGGAAGCTCTTTTCCAGGTGTGCATTATTTGTGCTGATCCTTTAAATTCAGCAGAGCTGGGGCTTGCAGAGCAGCTCTGCTTGCTTTTCCTTCCTGGTGCAGCAGGCTGCTACAAAGTTTGGTGTTTGCTCAAGCCTGCTCCATCCCCGCTCCCCCAAAGCAGGCGAGCGATATGCGATGCTTTGTCCCAGTAAGCTTTCTTCGCACCCTGCCTGTGTGCAGCCAGGCCTGTGGAGCCAAGCTGGTGTTTAAATCCTGGAGAAGTTCAGGTAAGATGTGGTTGCTCTCATTTCTGTGTTTAGGACTTGCAAAGGAGCTGCCTGTATTTTTCAACCTCAGCGGCCCCTTCTTTTTGCCAGCAGGTTGCTGGGAAGCAAATGTTTTGCTGGTTTTCCCTTATTTTCTTGAACTGTTGGTGTTTAGGAGATGCTGCCCCATTGGTGTCTGTGTTAGCTGGTTGAGATGGACAAAATGGCTCCACTTGGTAGTTTTTTCTTCCCCTCATGCTTTTTGCTTTCAAATAAGAAAGGCAGCAGTTGTTTTTAGGGTTTTTTGGTTTTTTTGTTTATTTTTTTTTTTTTTAAATGGCCTCTCTCCAATACATGTTGCTGTGGTTAGAGATGTAGCTGGGACTGAGATTTTTGGCATGGAAAGGAAGAAATGGGGCTGCAGAACCCCCCCAGAGCTGCCAGCTCCTTCAGCCTCTTCTAAACTACCTGTTCGGTGCCTGGGGCTGATGCCCTGCTCAGGGAAGCTGAGGTTACATGCAGAGCTCTGCTTTCTTTTTTATTAAAAAAAAAAAAAAGCCCTGCTGTACTGGCTGCAGGGAAAAGCTTGGGAACGTGAACTCTCCTGGTTCCAAAAAAACAAACAGAAAAAAAGCCCACGAGGCAAACTTCAGAGAGGCCCAAGCATCGCGCTTATTTTGAAATGCTGTGGAGGTCTGTGGGCAGCAGGGCAGAGCCTGGCTGCCGGCTCAGCCCAAGCCCTTGGGCTCTCCCTGGACCCGGGCGGTCGGAGCCGGCGGCTGGTCCCGC